TAACCAGATTTAGTTTTAAAAAAAAAAATAATATGATTAGTTGTTAGTGAAATTTTAAATTTATATTAAAGTAATATAATATTTAAAATAAAATAACTAAAATTAATTAGATATAAAAGTAAAGAGAGATGCAATAATGCTCCCCTACCCACGGTGGGCATATTAACATGTGCCCACCGTGGGTAGGTGAGCATTATTAGAGAGAGATGATATTAAGTGATAGTTAGTTAAAATTATATAAATTGATGAATAGTTAATTAAAATTGATGTGATATTTAATAATTATTGATTTGTATTATTTAATTATATGAATATTATTAAAAATAGTAGACTTTGGCTTAAAATTGAATTAAATTTTGAGTGTGAATTAGTTGAGAGTCAACATATTTTGTTGGAAAGGAGTTTGATTAGTTGGGAACACTTGGCAACATGTTGTGCGGGCTCGCGCGCAAGTGCGTGTGGGTGATGCGCTGCTGGCATGGGGCTGGCCTAAGCACGCTCTAAGGCTGCACTCGATGCCGGGTGGCCCGATCCATTGAGCACTGACCGTGTCGTCCGTCTGGAAACTTTCCGACAATTTTTCGATAGCGTCAACTGTATCTTCAGATTGTACTTTCCTACAAAATAAACTATAAATAAATAAGAAATAAAAAACACAATACATCAAAAAAAAAAAAAAAAGACGAGCAAAACCGAGTAAATGGATCTAGAAAAACTTAAAATAAAATTAAAAGAACACAAATAAAACACTTAACAACATATAAAATAAAATAAAAAAACATACAACACATATGACTACTCCAAGTGACCAAAACTTGACACATATGAGATTTGGAGTTACCAGACACATCAATATATAATATAAGATCATAAAAAAACCAAAATTGTGACGTAGATTAGAAACTATGTTTTGAGGGACTATTATTTTCAAATTTGCCTTTGCTCCAAAAGTGATAATAAATTTGCAATTCTGTTCATTTTTTCCACACATGATAAGCCCGATCTCTACATATTATTTTCATCAATATAAATAATTTTGTTAAAAATATGTAATAACACAAGTTAGTGTGGCTTTGATGCATAGTATCATGAATCGACTAGTCTATATCAATAAACAAAGATGGCTCTCACAAAAATGGAAAAATATGAGCAAAATAGTCAAAACGACATTTATTTTATCCATTAACCGAAAGTGACAAATAATAAAAATAGGATGGAGTACTATACAAAACGTCAATTTCCCCATTAAACTCACACGCAAAGTGGCAATACGAATAGGTGTGTGGTGGTGTAGATAACGTAATTACATAAAAGTCATCTTCATTAGTTCCAACTTAACTCCAAATTAAGTCTCGCTAATCCATTGAACTTCTTCCAACGATCGATAAGTACGCATTTGATGAGTCAAGTAAATAAGTGTACTTATTTATATATTTTAATTCAGAATTTCAGGTAAATTAAATATTGAAGAAGAACTAATCGAACTTCCTCAAATAATTAGTCCTGATAAAATTAAACGGGTTTCGTAAAACGAACTCCTTAAGCACATGGGCAACCGGCAAATTAAATGCTTAATTTTAAGCATTAGTCCGTGGGGATCAAGACAAAAATTACGATGACGTAAGTAATTACGCGCTAATCAGCAAATTTAAAAGTTGCCTAATTAATTGCTTAACCTGTTTCATGTTGCTCAAGCTAACGAAACTCACGGCCTCACAGTGTTTTGTGGCGCGGGCACAGTTAGTCAGTTTTAGTATCTATCTAGAAGAACTTCCACGTGTCAGATCACACGCGCACGTAGATACATACATACTCGTGCTGGTGTCTAATCATCTGAGGATTCATTCCCATCCCACATCGGAAAGAAAAAAAGTCACCGGCCCTGATGACTAATAATCTTTTCACTACCAATTGCAGCCTCCTTGAATGAATATAGCCGTAATCCTGTCACAAGGATCCCGTCATCTTCAAGAAAAAGCCACCGCAATTTATACTTAATGTTTGATTATCACATAATTGTATCACACTCAGCATTATATTATTAACATACACACTTACGTTTTAGACATTTTTATTTATGTTGAAAACTCCTTTTTCCTTCATCAAACTCTTCATCACTTAACCAAAGCTCCACAGTTGCGTCCCTAAGATGGCTAAAGTAATCTCCAATCACTCCTTAACCCTATCCCTTCTCTTCTTTCACTTTTTCTCCTTTCCTTTCATATTATCCTCCAAACAAACAACACTTCCAAACACCGAAAAAACCACCAAAAAAGACCTCAGTTGGTGGTGCCGCACCTCGCCCCACCCGGGCCCCTGCAACCGCCTGATCACAGCCAAATCCGAGCCGGTCTCCATCGACAAGTTTCGTGCCCTAACCATCCGGGCCGCCCTGGCACGAGCCACCGTGGCCCGGGCCCACGCCGCCCGGCTCGGCTGCCGCAGCAAGAGCAGACGCAGAAAGCTCGTGTGCCGCGAATGCATCAGCCTCCTAGACGACACGATCGCCCAACTAACCGCCGCCGTGCGGCGGAGCTCTGCGGGCCCTGATGACGT